AGAGATGTGCAAGAGCTTACGGCTCGCAGATTTGGGTGCAGAAGCACTCGGCATCGCCCTGTCGGCTCTCGAGCGCTACCCGGTGCTGGAGTGCCTCGGCATGCAAAGGAGTGCCCCACAGGCTTGACATTCTTGACGGCTATCGCAGTCAATGCTAAAGCGGCCTCCGGGCTAGACGGTCGTCACTTTCAGGAGCCTGGAGATCGTCCAGTGTGAGCTCCGCCCGAAGCTAAAGTTGCTGCTGGAGGCCGGTGTTTCTTTTGTGCATCTTCCGAATTCAGCCGTGTTCCGCATGCAGAAGCCAGCCGCAGCATGCTGCAGCCCAACCACTTCTCGGCAGGCCCTGGAGAAGATCAAGCTTCGGCAGCTCCACCTGCAGCAGAACGAGCTGTTTGAGGAGGGCACCCGCCAGGTCATCGAGGCCCACCGCCAGTTGCCGATGCACAGATGCATCATGGAAGCTCAATGATGCGCTGCAGGCCTTGGCTTTGCAGTCCAACGATACGCTTGCCGCACTGAGTCTCGGGCACGACGGCATCGGCGTCGCTAATGTCAAGGCTTTGGCCCAGGCCTTCGAGCTCTGAGATGAGCGGGGATCGGATTCAGAGATTTGCAGACCGAAGCCGAAGCGCGATGCCTGCAACTCTGCATGTAGGCTCTGCGGACAAACAGCGCTTTGATCGAGCTGAACCTGAGCCATGCCTGCCCAAGCATCGATGGCATCATCGCTCTCGCGGAGGCCCAGGGACAAGTTGTACAGGCCTTTCAAGGCTTCCGCTGAAAGGAAGACAAACCCAGGCCTCGTGTGCAGGCAATCAAGGAGAATCGGACCCTCAAGCAGCTGAGCCTTTCGGGAGCCACAGTCGCAGAGGAAGGCGCTTTCGCCCTTCTTGAGGCTGGCAGCTACCATTGTGCTTGCAGCAAGCACACAGCCAGCGAGTCTACAGCACCGCCCTGCAGGCTCTCCAAACAAGCGGGGTGGAGCGGCGGCTCGATCTGACGGGCTGCGATTGGGGCGATTTGGGTAAGGCCGCGGCGGCACTGGCCAGGGCCCTCCAAACCGGTCAGGCGGGGTGACGAGACCTCCTGGCGTGGCTTCTTCCCGCTCTTTCTCTCACAGCTTCCCATCTTGTCTGGCTGTCGCTGTGGGTGCCTTTTCTCTTCAGGTGAAGGGCACGGTCACCCACCCAGCGCTGGAGTTCCTGTGCATGTTGCAGGCTCGCGGCGTGCTCGCTCTCTCTCTCTCTCTCTCTCTCTCTCTCTCTCTCTCTCTGAAGCGTAGCAAGTTCTTCATCACTTCGGGCCCGACCGAATGAAGTCGACGGCAGGGTGCTTAAGGGCAAAGTGTCTTGCAAAGAGGCCTGGAAACCGGAACCCCTCTACCAGCACCCACCCGACACGACCTTGTAGTCACCTTTGCTCGGCACAAGCGCTCGCTTCCCGGTCTAAACGGAGCTCTTGGGACAGCGCCTGGGCCCGGTGCCGGCCGCGCGCAGGACGAAAGACTCAAAGAGCTCGAGGAAGCGCAGAAGTTCCAGCTCAGTCTCTTCGGCGACTTCCACGGCCGCGGGCTCAGCTCCAGGCCCAGGCCCCCACCGGGCGCTTGCTCCCACCCAGGCAGAAGCGGGTTCCAGAAGCTCTTCGAGCCGCTCTGCCGGGCCCTGCCAGAGCTGAAACTTCGAGAGCTCTTCCTCGGGCTCAACTGGCACGGCAGCCGCTTCGGCCAGGGCCCCGGCGGCCCTTTCGGAGCGGACGGCGGAGCGGGGAAAAGAACTCCTCCCTTCCGCTGGCAGGCGATGACGAGGCCCGGGCCCTGGCCGCGGGCCTGCGCCAACAAAAGGGGCTGGAGCGGCTGGAGTTGCGTCTGTTTGAAAACTCCCTGGGCCGGGGGCCTCAGCTGCGCTCCTCGTTTCGCTTTTTGACTTCCAGCTTGTTGGCGGCCGCGTTCCCACTTGGGGTTGGGCCTGCAAGCCGACCCCATCCATGTATCCATCTCCGTTCTTATCAGCTTCTTGGTATTTGGTATTTAGAGATAGCCGTGCAGACGTAGAGGCTGCTGTGAACTGCATCCAGTGTACGCAGCCCACCATGAAGTCTCAAGCCCAGCTCATCCTAGCCTGCTCCCGAACGGCCTCGACTCCCGTGATGTGCTTCTGAGTCTTGGATTCACGCGGCGGCTTTCTTGAGATTTCGATTCCGAAAACCCTCCTGCCCAAATGCCCGTTCCCGTCCCTTCGGGAAGGCCGCCAATTTCCTTCCCTTCGCTGTGCCTCGCGACTTTTTCCTGCTGAAGGGGCAGCTGGAAGCAGCACTTGGGCACCGAGGCGAGGAGGGCGGAAAGGTCCTGGCCTCCGCCCTCGCCCGGCTGACGGAGCTCAAGGAGCTCGAGCTGGAGCTGTCCCAGAATAACATCGGTCCGGGGCCTCGGAGGGCGCTCTGCTCAGAGCCGAAGAAGCCGAAGCCAGTTGCATGGGACGGCGTATATTGTTCATTGTGCCCTCAGCCTTAGCGACCCGGGGGCGGAGCGTGGCAGCTTGGGGCCTCACCTCTCTGTCGCGCGAGGTGATGCAGGCGCCGCAGCTGTGGCTGAGAGCCTGTGCCATCTGCGGCAGCTCACGGGGCTCAAAGTTTGGCTGTGCAAAAACGCGCTCGGCCGGGGCCTCGAGGTCTGTTCAGCGAACTTATATGGGCCTTGCCCCACAAACCACGTTCAGGCGATCCAAGCCTTGGATCCTTGTTCTCAGTGCAGCCCAATCCCCACGCCGAAGTTTGAAGAGACGGGTTTCTGCCGATGTCCACTCCCACTCACCGGAAGTGGCGGGCTCTGCCTGCCTCCCGCGCGAGGCGCTGCTGGCGCCACCGCAGTGGTGGTGAGCCTTCGAGAGCTGCCGCAGCTCGCGGAACTCAAGGTCATTCTGCAAGGCAACAAGCTCGGCCCGGGCCTCGGGGGCTTTGTTAAAGCATCTTGGACCTTGCCACACAAACCACGCCCCAGGCGAGGAGGGCGGAAAGGCCGTGG